ACACAGAGGGAGGCCCCTTCACATTTCTACTGCTGATATACTGTATTTTGTATTTTCTCTACAGATTTGTGAGGGCTTCTAATTTTTCTTGAGCTATTCAGTCCCTTTGAGCAAATCATAAATGTTTCCATGTTGGGTAGTAAACCTCTATATTCAAGTGGTAGTATACCACATTTTTCTCATAAAAATATCACAATAACCCAAAAACAGAAATCGTATCTAAAGAACTTCACGAGGAACCAACATTGGTAACGAATGTCAAACAATTTCTCGAAAAATAGGAACACTTTACATATTAGCTGGTGAATGTTTCACATATGAAACCCGTTATCAAGAGGGTAAAACAAAAGGAATTGCATCTAATATCAGAAGAATAGCATATTCATGATATAAGCAAAAACTTACTACGAGAGAAAGAGAGAAATTTGACAGATAAAACTACTTCAGAAACAACTTCTAATTAAGCTTGTAAAAAATATTCAAGAACGATATAAAAACATATTATCTTTCTGGTGTGTGAATCAAAATTCTTTTCAAAATGAAACCATTATTAAAAAAAAACTATGAGAAGTAGAAGTTAAAGAGAACAAAGTTTGGGTACCAGGATGCACTGGCACTGGCCAATAGAAGAACTCCAACCATCTCTTCTGCATCAACAAACAATACCAAGAAGAATTCTAAATTTAGGAACTTGGGTAGCTAATTTTAGGGATGTGGGTCTATCCAAATCAAAACCCAATTATGTTTGTACCCAAAATGGATAACATAAAATCTTTGTAGAGTCCCTATAAGTTTTTTCTTCTTCAAATGATGAGAACTGAATTTAATTGGGTCCCCTTCTTATCCAACACAACATATACTGACAAAAGATATGTATTTTCAATTCAAAATCTCCAAAATACTTGAACGCGTCCTTACATTTTCCCCTTTAATCCTCCTGCACGTCAGAAATTACAGAAAATGATTGCTAATAGAATCTTACACTCTACGCATTCAGTTATTCAGTTCTTTTCCGTAAAAACAAGAAAAAGGTTATCTTTGCTTACAAGAGAATTGCGTATCTCAAACTCAAAGAAAATTAATTATCAAAAAAATTGCATTTTTCTGGAGGTTAAACAACATGAAAAAGAATATGAAGGAACAACATGAAAAAGAATTTGAAGGGGAAATTCGAGATTTAAGGAAAAAAAAGAAATGGGATAATGTTAATGATAAAAAATTACCTGATTTGGGTAGATTTTAACTGAGGATTGTAAATCGGTGGCGGAGTCTAAAAGAAGAGAAATTAGGGTTTTATCGGATTTTTTTTCCCCTGCTGCATTTTGCGCATTAATAGCCGGGCGGTTAAAGGAGGAGCGGGAGAAAACGTGGGAATTTATTAAAGGAAAGGGGTGATTTGAAAATTGTTGGTAGTTTCTTCTTGGATTTGGCCCAGATCCAGATTACGATATTTTTGGGGCTTTTCTTTTTCCCTAGAATTCGTGTACATAAATAATACATACAACATTTATTTGCAGAAAATTATTCTAAATTTTAGTGTTTGTGTATATATATATACTAGTATTTAGACCCGTGCAAAGCACGGTTTCTAAAAAAAATTCTGCAAATATTAAACATGTTTAAAAAAATAAAATATTCTGTTTTAGATATGAAATATAGTAGTGAAAGTAAACCGAATAATTAATAAACACAAATTTATAATTATAATATATTTTATTATTATATATGTTATTTTACCTTAAGTATTTTATTCAATCCATCTTTTTAATGGAAATTTCATTATTTCCCGTTCTCTTATTTATGTACGTGGTAAATGTAAGCATGTACATGGTAAATGTAAGCGATAAACACAAATACTCGCACGCGCACACACATACATATGTAATAATCTAATTGTCGCGCGCCTTTGCGGAAGCCTTGCACGAACTCACAACGAACCTGTGATCACGAGTAGAAGAAAGACAAACTCTTGCACAAATCCAACCAATAAAGCCAAATCAATCCAAACACAGAGATATACGTGGTTCGGCAATTTGCCTACGTCCACGGGGAGAGGATGGGGAGATTTCACTAAATCAAGGAGAGTACAAAGGGTTACAATCACACAAATTCTCTCAAACTAACCCTCAACCAAAGATCTCACCTTGCTCACAATATCTCCCTCTCACAATGCTCAAAAGATTCCTCAATCTCTGATAAAAAACCCTCACAAATCGTTTCCCTATTTATATCAAAACAAAACCCCAATCAGACTGTAAATAGGAAACCTGCGTATGCAAAAAACCCGTCGTAAGTCGACTTAACAGAGCTCACAAGTCGACTTGACAGAGAGAAAATCAACAACTGGAGAACACTTCATAAGTCGACTTAACAGACTGTTAAGTCGACTTGCCATAAGTCGACTTAACAGTCATGCTAAGTCGACTTGACAGAGGCTAAAATCACAATTCGGCTGCAGATCGTAAGTCGACTCGTGCACAGTGCATGAGTCGACTTATGCCAGTTTTTCTGGTTAGATCGTAAGTCGACTCGTGCACAGTGCAGGAGTCGACTTATGCCAGTTTTTCTGGTTTTTCTGATTCTTTTCCTGATTTCTCCACAATTCTCCACCTCGGCGAATTTTGCCAAAAATGAGCCGACACCAAACCAAGAGCATCAATGTGTCGTCTCTCCAAATACGGCTGCACCACCATGGTTGCCTACGTACCCCCTCTCCCAAGGGATCAAGCCGCCCGTAGTTCATCCAAATGGCCGTCAACGGCCTCAACAATCACAAATATTCAACAAGTTTCTGCAATGATCAAACTTGTTGCTTGGAACCACCTTCGTGAGCATATCCGCCGGATTATCCTTCGTATGGACCTTCACAATCTCCACATCGCCATCTTCAAGAACATCTCGAACGAAGTGATAACGAACGTCAATGTGCTTCGTCCTCGCATGAAAAACCTGATTCTTCGCCAAATATATAGCACTCATGCTATCACAATGAATAGTGACGGATCGCTGCGATATACCAAGTTCTTCCAGAAGTCCTCGAAGCCAAATAGCCTCCTTCACAGCCTCCGTAACTGCCATATACTCTGCCTCCGTCGTAGACAAAGCCACCGTCGACTGTAAGGTGCATCTCCAACACACCGGCGCACGGGTCAAGGTGAACACATACCCCGTTGTAGATCGGCGCTTATCCAAATCCCCGGCATAATCCGAATCAACATAGCCAATGCATAACTGCCCACCTGTAGTGTCCCGCTCATAAACCAAACCAACATTGAGCGTACCTAGAATGTACCTCAAAATCCATCTCACGGCATCCCAATGACCCACTCCTGGATCGTGCATGTATCTCGACACCATGCTCACTGCCTGTGACAAATCCGGCCTCGTACATACCATCGCGTACATCAAGCTCCCAACTGCGCTCGCATATGGAGTCTTCGTCATCAACTCACGGTCTTCAACTGACTTCGGTGAAAGGCCAGCTGAAAGCTTCAAATGGGCTCCCAACGGTACACAAACTGGCTTCGTATCCATGCTAACATGGAATCGCTGTAGAACCTTCTTCAAATAAGCCACCTGTGTCAAACAAATCCTGCCCTTCTTCTTATCTCTGCCGATCTCCATCCCTAAAATGCGCTTCGCCTCGCCCAAGTCCTTCATCTCAAACTCATTCGAAAGCTGAACTTTCAACTCATCTATAGCTGACCTGGAACTAGAAGCAACCAACATGTCATCGACATAAAGCAACAAATAAATGTACGCACCTCCTCTCAACTTGCGAAAATACACGCAAGGATCAAACTGGCTCCGAGTGTACGAATGACCAAGCATAAAACCATCAAATCGCCTATACCACTGTCGAGGAGACTGCTTCAAACCGTATAGCGATTTCTTTAGCCTGCAAACCAACTTATCTTTCCCTGCAGCTCGGAATCCCAATGGCTGAGTCATATATATTTCTTCATCAAGATCACCATGAAGAAATGCTGTCTTCACATCCAACTGATCTAACTCCAATCCATACTGTGCCACCAAAGCTAGCAAAATCCGAATCGACGAATGCTTCACCACCGGAGAGAAAACCTCATTGTAATCAATACCTTCCTCCTGTGCATAGCCCTTCGCAACCAACCTAGCCTTGAACCTCACTGGAGTGCCCTCAATGCCCTCCTTCTTCGTGTACACCCACTTGCACCCAATCGCCTTCCGCCCCTTTGGAAGCTCTACAAGCTCCCATGTATCGTTCTTGTGAAGAGACTCCATCTCCTCCTGCATAGCCACCTGCCACGAATCAGCCTCCGAACTCTGCTCGGCCTCTCTGAATGTAGTAGGCACCATCTCATCGATACTCTCCACCGGAAGTGCATATGCAACTGTGTCGGCATACCGTGCTGGCACCCGTATGTCTCTCCTCTGTCTCCGTGCCGCAATAGAATCCTGAACCTGAGCCGTCGGTCCCTGATCCTGCTCATGAGTACCCGTATCCTCCGCATCACCGTCGTGCTCGCCTGGCGTCACCTCAGTCGGCACTCTCATGGATACTGCACTATCTGGACTCTGTGGAGCTGCATCAATCTCCACCACCTGCGAAATCTCCTCTGTCGGGTTGCTCTCCACCTGATGAGAGCTGGGAAGCTTCAAGATAGAAGCCTCATCGAATGTGACGTCCCTACTCAGCACAATCTTCTTATCAACTGGATCCCAAAGCTTGTATCCCTTGACACCACGCTTGAATCCTACAAATATGGCCTTCCTAGCTCGAGGTTCCAACTTATCAGTTCTAACATGATAATATGCAGGGCAACCAAATACCTTAAGCTGGTCATAGTCATGTGCTGTCTCTCCCGACCACATCTCCATAGGGGTCTTCCCCTCAATCGCAGATGAAGGCAGCCTGTTAATGAGGTGGCTCGCATAAGAAAGTGCCTCAGCCCAAAAGATCTTCTCCAAACCACTATGCGCCAATAAACATCGAATCTTCTCCAGCAAAGACCGATTCAATCTCTCTGCCACCCCATTCTGCTGCGGTGTATGACTAACTGTGAAGTGCCTCTCTATGCCCTCGTCTCGACATAGCTGCAGAAAGGGGTCTGAGGTATACTCGCCGCCGTTGTCGGATCGCAACGTCTTGATCTTTCTCCCAGTCTGCAGTTCCAATCTCTTCTTCCACTCCACAAACAAATCTAGGACTTCACTCTTATGCTTCATGGTGTACACCCAACATCGCCTAGAATAGTCATCAACGAACGTGACGAACCAATGTCGACCACCAAGTGATGCCGTCTTAGTGGGACCCCAAACATCTGTGTGCACGTAGTCCAAGATGCCCCTCGTCCTATGAATGGCCGTCCCGAACTTCACCTTCGTCTTCTTGCCAAGTACACAGTGCTCACAGAATTCTACTTTACCACTCTTGGCTCCCTTCAAAAGCCCCTGCTTGCACAATGCCTGCAGTGACTTTTCACCTGTATGCCCTAGCCTGTAGTGCCAAAGTCTGCTCATGTCCGCCTCTGAAATCGCCGAAGCAACCTGGCCAATCTCGGTGCTCCCCTTCAGATAATATAAATTATGATTTCGGACTCCCTTCATCACCACCAAAGATCCCTTAGTAACCTTTGCTACAGCATCCTCAAAGGTCACCCTGAATCCCTTCGCCTCCAAAGCCCCCACTGAGATAAGATTCTTCTTAAGTTGAGGAACGAATCTCACCTCCTTCAGCTCACGGACTACTCCATCGTGCATCCGAATCCTCACAGTACCTATCCCACGAACGCCACAGGATTGATCATTTCCCATGACCACAACACCCCCATCGAGTCTCTCAAATGATGAGAACCAATCTCGCCTAGGAGTCACATGATAAGTAGCGCCAGAATCAAGCATCCACTCCGATGCATCCAAATGGTTCACCTCCGGAGTAATCAAAAGAGAAAAGCTCGAATCATCGGAATCATCGCCTTTCGCAACATTCACCTCATTGGCCTTCGGGCCCTTATTCTTGCTATTCTCCTTTTCTTTGACTTTCGGGCAATCTCTTTTCCAATGTCCCTGCTCCTTGCAGAATGCACATTGATTCTTTCCAAGCTGGTGACGACCTCTTGACTTTGACCTCCCTCTGTTTCCACCTTTCTGATATGAGCTTCTACCTCTCGCCGACAAGGCCTCTCCTGAAGTACTAGCGCGGGAAGTCTCCTTATCCTTCCTCCTCAAATCATAGTTCGTCAATGCGTTAGTCACTTCACTATAAGTGATAGAAGATCTCCCGTTCAGCAACGTAAGCACGAAGGTATCATACTCCTCATCCGGTAAGGAGCCCAAAAGAATAATAGCCTTGTACTCATCTGTGATCTTCTCATCCACGTTCGCCAAGTCCGACAACAACTTAGTGTAGTTGTTCACATGAGCCGCAAGCGAGGTACCTCTGGACATCTGGAATCTGAATAACCTTCGCAGCAAGTGCAACCGGTTCTCAACAC